AAAAAAAAAAAAAGTCATATAATTAGTTCTTTTCTGCTCACTACACAACAAGAATTGATTGGCAAGATCATCACTGCAAATGCTTGGGAAAACCCTAAAACTTTTTTTTTTTTCTTTTCTTGATGTTAGGAAGATATTTCACAATTTCATTATTCTGATTTACTAATCCAGAGAGCTGGCACAAGCTGCAACCACTAAACGATGTGACTGTGAATTTTAGAATGAGGGTGTGTTATTAGTTTTTGTTAAAGAAACCAAGCACAAAAAAGAACAAATACCCACCTAGATTTCCTGCAAGTTTTTTCTTTTTTTTTTCTTTTCCTGATTGGTAATGTTGTCTAAGTAGAAAAACTTTGGCCTTATATCTTATATAGGTATATATACCTATCTTATATACCTAAATTGGCATTGCTTTGCTAGGCTAGAGATGCTAAAATCACCTCTTGCACAGAGTTCTGATTCATTCTTGATAGGAATTTGCTCACAGACATTTTCTTTATGGTCTCACAGAGCCCGTGTGCTAAGCCTGGTCAGCTCCCAAAGCTTTAACGATGTGAGTGGCTTATGCTGGTTTTGCCATTATGGGCACCTAGAAAAATATGCCTGATAATGGCTAAACCAGGATATTTTCTACTTATGAGCTGTTTTATAAGAAGCAAATTCAAATCATACCTTTGTAGGCACCTGTGCAGTCCCAGTGATATGAAAGTCTGAGCTGTTGAAACAGGTTTGGGAATCAGCTAATGGGATATTTGGCAAGAATTTTTAGCTAAATTTCCAATTAGGTTTGCTTTAGACAAATATAAGGGATATATTGCCATTGACCTGTGCCTCATTGCTTTTTCCAATCTCCCTTTTGCTACATCTCCATTTCTTAAGCTGCATCCTGCTAGGAACTGAATCTTCCTTTGTACATCTTTTCTTAAGGATAAAGTAGATTTCTGTATAAATATGAGGCTTTTGGCCAACTTATTCAGTTAGTATTTGGGTGGGTGGAAATTGTTTTGTTGCTTTTTCTTCAACCATTTAACAGACAAACGATTAAATTTCTGTGGCACAATTTATTTTATTAGCAGGCAGTAGCCGTTGTTGACCAGTCCTCTCGTTTTCAGAGATTCTGCATTTGGCACATATTGTGAAGGCTGAAAAAATATAAAATGAATATAGGGGGTTATTTGATTGCAAAGTTGCAGCACTGGTAGAAATAATGTATATTCTAGTAGGATTTCAATATCCCCAGGATGAACTGAACTAAATGAAGACCTTGTATGTCAAATGCAGTGGAATATTTGGGGAACATGCAGTTGAAATCTTTATCCCCACCCTCTTCTTTTGCTCATCTTCAAAAGAGCTGTCAGCTCATGGGTTTGTGCAACATGAAGCACATCACATTTTCCACTCTGGGATCCTGCAGCTCTGGTGATGCCAGGGACTGGTGAGGATCTTTTTCCATCTCTGAAGCAGATTCAGAACAGGGAGTGATGCTCAGGCCTGCAGAAAGCACTTCCCTGGCACTGGAATTTGGTAAAGGAGAGAGCACAGAGGGGGTGAGAGGGTGGATGGGGAGAAAGGATGGTTGAGCTCGGCTGCTGTGCTGGAGGAAAAGCTGCAGCAACAGCTCTGTCTGCTTGTGCTGTGTGGGTGTTCACACAATGGAGCTCAGTCATCAGGTCCCATCTACACACCTACACCAAGGGCTGTGTGATAGAACAGGTTATGTGAGGGTGGATTAGAGGATTGGAGGATTGAGTATATAAAGAATCCTGAGCCACATTTTTATTTTTTTTTTAGATTTGCTTTATGCTACAGCTAATCTTTGTCCAAAAAGAAGGGAAAAAAAATTCTATAATGGAACCACAAAGAAACTCAGCCTGAAATCATCTCATCTAGGTTTGCTGGATTTTAGATGTTGAAAGGCAGGATCTGGGATGTAATTGTGTAGCATTACATGACACGTCAGGTGTCCTAAATCCCCTTGAATTATAGGCATATAATTCAGGAGGTGCCTCAGGTGCCCTGTGAAAAAAGAAAGGTACACCTAGAGAGCAGCTCAGATCTCATGGACGAGGCTGTGGGAAAAGGCAGCACAGCCAAGTGACTGGAAATGGGAGGAAACTGGCCCTGAGGTGTTTCAAAGCAACAGAAGGGGCAAACCAAATAATTCATCTGCACCAGAAACTAAAACCTCTGACAGGGCTTGCATTTAAAAATTGTATCCATGGCAGCTTGTCCATTTTTTCCAGTGATATCAGTTTTCCTCATAAAATACATTACCTCTCCCTACAAACCTTGCCTCTCTTGCCCCTTTGAGCTCTCAAATAGGTCAATAATTCTATTGACTTCCAAACTCTTTACTTGAAAGTAGTCAAGACCTTTGTCTGGTCAGGGTCCAAAAGTCCTTCTAACCTGCAAGCATTTATGGAAAAAGTGCTGATTGAATAGGAAAAAATGTGCAAAAATATATTTAAAACCTCCTCTCTCCAAACCTCAGCTGGCAAGTGCAATGGGGAAAATGGTCCATTGTGGCTCCCAGCTGTTTAGTCTCCCCAGTTTACAGTCCCCATTATGTGCCAGTTATGCAGAAGGTGAGGCCAT